CTCACCTCTAGGGCACTTGCCTTCCAGAGCACATTTAGATCTACAGGAGTGTCAGGTGGCTAGAACCTAGGGTTCTGGACAAATGGACCCTCTGTGTAGCATGGCCTGTCAGCCCCTAGGCCTTGAGCAAGGAGGGAAGTTGGGGGAGAAGGAAGCAAGGTTGCAGAATGCTTAGAGTGGCTTTCTGAGATGCTGCACATGGGTTGAACACAGTTAAGTTTCTAATTTCTATTTAAAAAACTCAGAAATGGTCATAGTTTCCAAATCACTTATTAAAAAATTGCCTCCCATTTCTCTTAATAGCTATTTCTCAAAAAAATCTAGTTTGGTATCTTGAAAGATTGGAAGGCTTTCATAGAACTACATTGTAGATACCCATACACTGTATTGTGTTGTCTCCTGTTATATATATATATATATATAATGTACGTAGATATATGAAAGATACATAAAGAGACTACTATATTGAAACTCTCCAAGTTAGATAAATGGTGTTGATGGTGGGAGATGCCTTATTATGTCTACGTGCATTACAGGATGTTGCTATTTGCTGGAACAAGAAGCAGTGGCAGGTGGACTGTGGCAGAATCTTAGCTTTTGTACACATTGTCCAGCCATGAGTTAGTGCAAAGAGGTACAGGAAGGGCCCTGACAAGGACAGTTGGTCATGGGCTCATGTTTTATCAGCAGACTCAAAGCTTCAGGCAGCTTCAAGCCCTGTCGTGCATTGGTAACAGGAAGGTAAAGGGACAGATTTCTCAGGGATCTATTAAGATCTCTAAGGCAGTTATTAAATTAGGCAGTTTAATTATGGGAAGTATTCACATGAGAATAAAGGTATCTTCTCAAGAAGGAGCTGTGTTCTCATTAGTAACTTAACATTCTCTTTTTGCTTTTTTTTCTCCCTGTGTTCTTTTAGTAAGTTATAACTTAGATATAATAAAATACACAGATGATAAAGGTTCAGTCAGTGAATTTGATTGATGTATATATCCATGTAAGCACCAGCCATCAGCACCATAAAGGTCATTTCTATCATCCCACAAGATTCTTGTGTGACGTTTTTACTTAAATTCCCCCAGAGCTAACCATTTTCTGACTTCTGTCTCCATAGATTCCTTTCGCTATTCTTGTGTTCATAAGCCATATCATGCAGTATGCACTGTTTTTTTCTTTTTGGGTGACTGGTCTCTTTCATGCAAGATAATGCCTGAGATTCATCGTCAGTTTCTATCAGTAGTTATTCCTTTCTATTGTTAAGTAATACTTCCTTGTGTGAATATGTCAGTTTGTTTCTCCTTTTTCCTGTTGAGAGACATTCGGGTTGGTTCCAGTATTTGGATATTCACACTGTTGTATACATGCTTGTCATTTTGTGGGCAGATGTTTCTATTTTTTTTTTTTTTTTTTTGAGACAGAGTCTCATTATGTCGCCCTCGGTAGAGTGCTGTGGCGTCACAGCTCACAGAAACCTCAAACTCTTGGACTTAAGCGATTCTTTTGCCTCAGCCTCCCAAGTAGCTGGAACCACAGGCACCTGCCACAATGCCTGGCTATTTTTTGTTACAATTGTCATTGTTGCTTAGTAGGCCTGGGCTGGGCTTGAACCCACCAACTTCAGTGTATGTGGCCGGTGCCTTACTCACTGAGCTACAGCGCAAGCCTGGTCTTAAAACATTTTTGTGACTTTGTTGATTAAAGTGAGTTTGGGTCGCTTCAAAGCAGGTCTCCAGTCTTCTAAGGAGGTAAGTTTTGGAAGTAGGAGAATGTTCTCCTCAGGCAGTGTAGGCGTGAGGATGGGCACTGGGGCAGTGAACTGTATCCTTTACCTGTTTTTTCTCGTGGCTGACAAGAGTAAGCTGGGAGTTCTGATGAGGCTGGGGGCCATAACCTGAGCTGGCAGGGAGTCTGGAGTGGGACGAAAGAGGAGCCGAAGGACGCTGAGCTTTGAGGGGTGGGCAGTGGCCAGATTGTAAGATTTACACTTGATGCCAGTTGTAGGCTCTTCGTACCTCTCTGGGCCCTCCGTGTCCTTGTAAGTGGGGTGGTCTGGGTCTCTCTGTGTTGAAACATTCAGTGAAAATGCGTGATCTCTCCATCTGAGATACCCAGCTGTGTGTACACCTTCCTTTCTGCCTCTCCTCCAGGCCTCCACCGCTATGTCTGGCTGGTTTATGAGCAGGACAAGCCACTGAAGTGTGATGAGCCTGTTCTCAGCAACCGATCTGGAGACAACCGTGGCAAATTCAAGGTGGCGTCATTCCGTAAAAAGTACCATCTTGGGGCCCCGGTGGCTGGCACATGTTACCAGGCTGAGTGGGATGACTACGTGCCCAAACTGTACGAGCAGCTGTCTGGGAAGTAGGGGAAAGCTTGGAGCGCGCACTGCCCCATAGGCCCCAAGTAGTGTTCTCAGTTCTGTGTTGCATGTAAGTTTCTCCTCTTTCCTGCTCCCCTGCACACAAACAGGCGAGATCTGAGCAGAGAGTGTTCTAGGGTGACTTTTCCTACTGCCGATTCTTATAATTTTAGGTAGTCACACACCCCGGTTTGTGTTTTGATAAAATTTGAGTTTCATTTTGGTACTATGAAGGGGTCATCAAATTAATACAAAAACGGCAACCCAGAATTTAAAGAAGAAAAAAAATCCTGTAAAAAGACCATGGTCTATGGTAATAGAGCAAAGCATCAAAGAATCTTTAAGGGAGGTTAAAAAAAAGGCAGGTGGGGGGATTGGTTGCCTCTGCGTTTGTGATCCTAAGTCCAGAATTGTGTGTGACAGTGTCTTCTGAGACTTGTCACAGTGCTGTCTCTCACCAAAACAACCAGAGGCTACATTGAGGCTGATCCCCAACACAGCACATCTCAGATGGTTTAACAGATGTCAGCGTCAGTCCTGTTCTGGCCCCTTCAGGAGCCATCCTGGAAAAATCTGTAGCAAAGTGACTTTGCTGCTGTGGAGACATGGCTGTCCAGACAGGCGGCAATGCCGGCTGACAGGTTATCAGAAATCCTTAAATCTGTGTCCGTTAAATTTTTCAGTCTTTACTAGGTGAGAAAAGCCAGTTTGGAGTTGCTGAAAGTTTTGTTAATTCTGCTGTTTGCTTATAGTTGAATAAAAATAAAAACCTTGAATCAATGAACCAGGTCTCCAGATATTTTGTCCTGTTGGGTATGGGTTTCATAAATACAGGAATTGAAGAGATCATCTCTGCAGGGTGAGTAGCCCCTTTCTCTGATGAGCAGGTAGGACTGGGGTTTGTTCTACCCATGTACACGGGCCATTAAACCACAGCTCCCACAGCAGGAGCAATCAGACTTGGAGTTTGTAAAGAAAATCATAAAACCTGCGGCCAAATCTTGCTCCCAAAGCCCCTTTGTTTCTTACCAGTGGTCCTTTTGACCTGAGAATGGTCTTACAGGAACTGGTTGAAAACCTTTGCTCTTTGTGTAGTCGTGTGCCTGCGACAGCCTGCACCTCTCATTGTTCTGATGTGTTATCCGTAGAGAAGCAGCACCAAAGAGGTGTGCAGGGAAGGAGGGAAGGAAGGGCACTGTTTGATGCCATCTCATGTACCAAAAGAAAGGAGAGGTGTTGAAAGGTGCATATCACTGTGAGTTGGTCTCTGATGGAGAAGAGGACCCTGAATCAGCCTGCCAGGTGCTAACAGGGCTGGGCCTTCCCCTGCCGGTCAGTGCAGTACTTGTAGAAAATGTTGGCAATGCTGCCTCATGGAATCTGGGGGCTGATGAGATAGCTAGATTTTTTTGTTTTTTTCTAATTATTTACACTTCTCATGACCTTACTGGACTTTTGAATTCAAGAAGCAATCTTTGGCTATCAGATAACCACCTTCTTAAATATCAAACCTTATTACTAGAAGGACCAGTGCTACAATTACGCACCTGTATTGCTTTGAAATCTGCCACTTTCCTCCCTGAATCCAATGAGGAAATAGGGCATGACTGCCAACAAATTATAGCACAGACCTGTGTAGCTAGAGAGGACTTCAAAGAAACCTCCCTACCTAATCCTGATATGGTTTTATGTACAGATGGAAGTTCTTTCGTAGAACAAGGAACTATGCTGTAGTTACTCAGTACCCAGTAATGGAAAGTGGGTCTCTATCCAGGAACTAGTGCACAATTAGCTGAGTTAATAGCCTTAACCCATGCTTTAGAAATTGGGAGAAACAAACGAGTCAATAAATACACTGACTTAAAATATGCCTTCCTCATTTTACATGTCCAGGCTGCTATTTGGAAATGTAGTCTAATTTTTTTTTTTTTTACAGTTTTGGCTGGGGCCAGGCTTGAACCTGCCACCTCTGGTATATGGGGCTGGCACCCTACTCCTTGAGCCATAGGTGCCGCCCCCCCCATGCTGCTATTTGGAAGGAAAGACAATATCTAACTTCCAATGGCTCTCCCATAAAATATGAAACAGACAGGTTGTTACAAGCCGTTCATGCTCCACAAGAAGTGGCGGTTATTCATTGTCAGGGACACCAAAGGACCTTAGGTGAAATTTCTGAAGGTAACCAACTTGCTGATAAAGAGGCTAAAATAGCAGCACAAAAGGGAATAATTCCCCTTGTGGCACCCCTTATTTGGGAGGAATCACTTAAGAATCTTGCGCCTCAATATACTCAAAAGGAGAAGGAATAGGCTTTATCCAGAGACTATTCCCTACTTCCATCAGGTTGGCTACAAAATAGAAGTGGACTTTTGCTATTATCTACTGCAAGCCAGTGGAAAATACACAGGGGTCCTCAAACTGTTTAAATAAGGGGCCGGTTCACTGTCCCTCAGACCATTGGAGGGCTGACTGTGGGCCCTGGGACCAGTCAGCTGCTAAGCAGGACAGGCAGTGGTGGCAAAAACACCCGGCGAGCCGGGTAAATGTTCTAGGCAGGCTACATGTGGCCTGCGGGCCGTAGTTTGAGGATGCCTGACTTAGGACTTTACATCAGTCTTCATTTTGGCTCTGAGAGTATCTATCAAATGGCTAAAGCTCTCTTTAATGAAAAAAAAACTTATTTAAAACCATAAAACAGATAACAAGGACTTGTAAAGTATATCAAAAAAATAACCCTTTAACTCACCATCTAGCTCCCCCAAGTATACAGAAACAAGGTAAATATCCAGGTAAAGATTGGTAAATGGATTTCACTCACCTCCCTAAAGTACATGGTATACAATATTTGCTGGTATTTGTGCATACTTTTACTAATTGGGTCGAAGCATTCCCTTGTAGGACAGAAAAGGCCCAGGAAATTGTAAAGGCTTTAGTACATGAGGTTATCCCCAGGTTTGGACTTCCTCGGAGTTTGCAAAGTGGTAATGGGCTGGCCTTCAAGGCAGCAGTTACACAGGGACTATCTAAAGCCCTAGGCATAAAATATCATCTACACTGCTCCTGGAGGCCCCAATCCTCTGGAAAGGTAGAAAAAATGAATGATAAAATCAAAGGACAGTTGCGAAAGCTAACTCAAGAAACTCATCTCCCTTGGACTAAATTGCTTTCCATTGTTCTCCTTTGAATAAGAAATTTACCTCAGAAACTTGATTGTAACCCATTCAAATTGTTAGATGGAAGACCCTTTATAATGATTTATAATTAGATCAAGAAACTACAGAATTAGTAAATCATATTACTTCTTTAGCTAAATTTCAACAAATTCTTAAAAACCTCCCAACTATATTTTCTTTTTTTTTTTT